GGAGGGCCTCTTTGTACCCGTGGCAAGGCCTAACTCGCCAGTGGGAAAGGTCCACAGAGGCCCGAAGAGATACCACCGCCCATCCTCCATCGACGACACCAAGACAGCTCACCACCCCGCGGCCAAAGTGAATGCGCAGAGTGCGTTTGAAACGCAAGAAAGCCTGCGCTTTCTCGAGGAACGCTTTGGCCGCAACCTCGACCTGTCCCTCGTCGAGCGCGCCAGGTCGGCCATCAAGCGTAGAATCGCCGGCGCCATGGCAGCCGACATGGAGGCCAGCATCAGCTCACTGCCTCCCATGGGAGAAAACACCAGAAACCAAAAGGATTTGCAAGAGAGCGACGTATACCTGTTCCCGTGCGGCATGAACGCCATCTACAACGCCCACCGGGCCATGCTGCGCGCCAGGGGCGACCTCCAGTCTGTCAACTTTGGCTTCCCCTACGTCGATACGCTCAAGATCCTGCAAAAGTTTGGCCCTGGTTGTCTCTTCTACGGACGCGCTTCAGAGGAAGATCTCGACGACCTCGAAAAACGTCTGGAGGGTGGCGAGCGCTTCCTGGCGCTCTTTTGTGAATTTCCCGGCAACCCCCTCCTAACCTGCCCAAACTTGGCGCGGATCCGTACCCTTGCAGATAAGTACGACTTCGGCGTCGTTGTAGACGAGACCATTGGCAGCTTCATCAACATTGACGTGCTACAATACGCCGACATCGTCGTGAGCAGTCTGACCAAGATCTTCTCGGGCGACTGCAACGTCATGGGTGGCAGCGCCATCCTGAACCCAAGCGGCAAGTACTACCAGGCCCTGAAGGCTGCTTGGGTCGAGGACCTGGAAGACACGTACTGGCCAGAGGATGTCGTTTTCATGGAGCGTAACAGTCGCGACTTTGCCTCGCGTATTGAGCGCATCAACGAGAGTTCCGAGACCATTTGCGACATTCTCTCGGCCCACCCGCTGGTAAAACGCGTTTATTACCCCAGAGTCAACCCGACGAGACCCAACTACGATCTCTGCAAGTTGCCCGGTGGAGGTTATGGTGGCCTTCTCTCGGTCACGTTCCACAAGAAGGCCCACGCCGTTGCATTCTTCGACGCCATTGAGACGGCCAAGGGCCCGAGTCTGGGTACAAACTTTACTCTGACATCGCCCTATGTACTATTGGCGCATTACCAAGAGCTCGACTGGGCTGCCGGTCTGGGTGTTGATCCGGACCTCATTCGCGTCAGTGTCGGTTTGGAAGAGACGGACGAGTTGCAAAAGATTTTCACCAGTGCTCTTGAAGCGGTTGAAAAGTCCCAAGATGCTTGAATTGCACAGCAAAACTCGGTATTAGAGGAGCGTTAATGGATATTTGGACGCGGAGGCATGCAGAAGCTGAAGATGACAATAATTTTGGGAGCAGCGAGAAAGCACTCGCCAGTAACGACTACAAGACTCTTTCTCACATTCTAGTCTCGTCGCGACCGGAAGCTCAAGCTGCAACCGGCAAGGGTATCTCTGAGAAATCTATGGGAAAGCGAAGAAGAAGAAGAAAATAAAAACATGGCAGCATTTACATGATGGAGCATTCAGAGTGCACGTATCCGGGACCATAGTCCTCGATGCCTCGTTCGATCTCGTTGGCCCGTTGCTTCTCCTTAGCCTCCTTGGGAAAGTACTTGCGCATGTATCTCTCTAGTTGAATATCCAGATTATCTGGAATCATCAGTGTCAGACAGCATACACTTTGTATCAACTAATTTGTTCTACTCACCTGCGGAAGCCTTCATGACGGTGTCTGCTCTACACAAAGGGCAGTGGTTCTCTTTCCGACGCTGGATCTTGACAATGCACCGGATGCAAAAGATATGTTGGCAGGCTAATCGGACAGGCCTATAAGCGATGGCGAAGCAAATCGGACACAGATAGTCGCTAATCTGCGGTACGACTGACACCAAATCGGTAGACATTTGGGCGCAGATGTCTTTTGCCACAGAGCCAGCCAGCAGCTTGTCGGAGTGGACTTGAATGGGAAAGGATTTTGAAACACCTAGACAAGTTCGTTTATCGAATTCTGTCGCGGATTAGCTTTGGAATATCAGAGTAGGTTGAAAGTGGTAACGGGAGGGGTGAGGCTCACTTTTCAGAATCTTGTAGATGGCAACCTGGTTAATTTCCTGGAACTGCAAATTTTTGAGGAGAACGGCGTTGAGACTCAAGAAGCGAACCAGGGCTTCGCGACTCTCGGCAATCTTGAATGATTTGACGAGACTCCTCTTTGTGATTTCTTCCTGGAACCACTGAAGCTGCTTCGCAGCCGTCTGGCTGGTTCGTGACCCGTGGTCTTGCTCATTGGTTGAGAAGAAGACCTGGGCGTCCAGATACAGTTCGAAAATGGCGCGCCACCTCGCAAGGTCGCTCTTGGAGAGTCGGCTGGGTTTCGTCAAATGCGAAATTTCCTGTCTGAGGGCAACGATCTCTGTCACCATTGCCTTTTCTTCCTTTGCCTGAAGTGCATCCAAGTTGTTGACATCGCTCTGCAGGATATCAAAGAATTCACTATCAAAGACAAGTGGAACTTCGATTCGCTCAAAGTGCTCGGTAGGTAGTGAGTGGCCTTGGACTTGGACACAACTCTGGGTGTCTGATAACTCAATCTCAGCATTGGCAAGAGACTCGGCAGATGAAACTGACGACTTTGCTGGTACGGCCTCCTCGTGAGCTGCGGCCGGGATCGGTTGACCTGGATCGTGGGACTGCAAGGCGGCGATGCGTTCAATGAGGGAACGGGATGCGGGCGTCAGCGATGCATCAATGGCATTGCCGTCGCGCATGTGCACCAAGACAGTCAGCTTTGGCCTCAGTAACTTTGAGTTCCCGGCAGCTGTGTGCAAGTTAGCCGTTGTGGTAGGCGTGGGGGGTGGCGGCGATCACACCGTTGGACGGGAGGGGGCAGAGAGAGGTTACCATTGAGGCGGTATTTAGCGGCCAGTGGCGAATCATTGGCCGGGTCGAGAAGTTGGCGTAGAGTCTCCGGATCAAGCCCCAAATCGTTGAGTTCCCTGGCGACACGTTTGAGAACCTTCTTCAGCTGGCCATATGGGATGGCCTGATCAATCCAGTGAGGCGGAAAGTCTGGAGTTGAGCAGCGTCAGTCAATGCATCGTCTCTTTTGAAGAAGACATTCGTTGCCGCAGGGCGTCTGAGATGAGACGAACAGGTAATGTAAGGAGGGAATGAAGATGAGACGTCCGTCTCTGTGAGCTGAAGACATGGAATTTGAGAGGAAATACGGATAAGAAAAAGGCATCTAGTAGACTTACCTTGCCGCCTAAGCGTTTCCTTAAAATCGTGTGCAAACTTCATAGCGTTTTCAATTTGGTCGGATCTGCAGTGCAACAATACTCGATACTCGGACGGGTGTCTTGGCAAGGCGTAAAGACATGGCTTTCTCTCCGAGGGGTGGATAGGACAGCCCTGGATTCACAGACGAATGGTCAAGAAAGGGTTGGGGGGCTTGTGATGGGAAGATAGGTACGGATAAATGGTCAGCAGCGTAGTTGCACTATATAAAATTTCAGTCACAGACACGCAAAAGTACGTAACTAAATTGGTTTCCTGTCACCGGCCTCGACTTGCTGGGCTAGGCTGGGCTGGACCATGTTGTCGAACAACCAGGACAGGGAGGGAAAGGCGAGGAGGGGGGAGGGCATGGCATGGGTACCTACACCGTACATACGCCATCCCATCCCATCCCCGACAGTGGCCCCTCGCTTGTCGCCTTCTCGTCAGTCCTTTGTCTTTTTCAGGTATTAGGTAAGGCAAGGTAAGGCGACGGGTGAATAGCTACTCAGAGTCTGGGGCAGACGAGAACAGATCACGACCGGGATAGAGTACCTGGGTAGGCAGTGGGTAGGTACCTTTGGTAGGTACATGGACTTGTCTCCGTAGAACCTAGGCTCGTGGATACATACATGCATGCTTTGGATAACACAAGAAAGTGCAGTAGGGAATCGGGAAGAGTTAGTGGGTTACCCAGTCTGTATCTTGGGGCGGTCTCGTAAGGTAAGGTACTGTACAGTCACACGGATGGGCCAACCTATATGTAGAGGGAAACTACAGCATGAAAACGTTGCAACGGGTCACATCCCCTTGTCTGCAGGTTTTCAACCTTTCGATCCACTGCAAGTTCCAAGTTTGCATGACGCGAGACTTGCTTAGTGTACGGAGTACGGATTCGGATACCTGCATCAGTCCCAGCTATGCAGACTGTGGTTTCCGTACACGGCGTCAGTCATCTGAAGATACCTCGCCCAAAGTACACCCACAAAGGGGTGGCATTTGGTCCGTTGCTCCTATCCCGGAGCCGAAAAGTAGCTCCTCTCGAATGCTGCGTATTGCAACTCGGTCCAGTCACAAATCTCAGACTCGGCACGTTGCCATGCCAGGTGGACCAAGCAAGAGTCATTGTTCGTCTTTGTCATCGTACGAATAGGTACGAATACAGAGTATTACTATATCCATGCGACAAGGCAAGGTAGATGTGTATGCTCCGTAGATGGATAAGTACCCAGTACCTTGTCGCGGTACCTTCGACCTCGACAACCCTTGGTTTCTTATCTTATCTGACCCGGGAGACAATGAGGGGTTGTGGGGCATAAGGTACAGTATGGAGGGGCACCTGTAAAAAAAAAAGAAAGTTGGTTCAAGAATTATTACCTAAAGTCCAAGCACCACAAGGAAGTTCTATCCGTACTTACGGAAATACCTTACCTAGATTCTTCATCTGTTGCGAGAATACCTGATGTTCTTGACCCGCTGAATATCTAGTCACTTGTTTTTTATTGTGCAGCATCTCCGAATTGTTTGACCGGTCGTTAGCTTTCAACAAACACGTGCCGGCTCCATCACACTGATTCGTGGCAGCTCCCCCATCTACAGGTACTTCGTGGACCAACTGTAGCAGACAACTTAGCCACCCACTTCTCTTTACGCTCCATAGCTTCTTCGGCGTGCCATGGGTGCTCAGCAATCCTCTGGCCGAGACCAGAGCGAGAGCTCATCCCAACCCGTCAAGACATGTTACTATGAGCTACTTGGAGTTGAGCGCGACGCTTCTGACGACGAGTACGTGCCCGTTCTTCGCTTTCCAGTGCTCTTGGACTTGTACTAATCGGTCTCGGGCCTACAGAATCAAGAAAGCTTACAGAAAACGAGCACTTGAGCTTCATCCGGACCGAAACTTTCACGATGTCCAGAACGCGACCCGTCGCTTCGCCGAAATCCAGGCAGCATACGAAGTCCTCGCCGATCCCCAGGAAAAGGCTTGGTACGACTCTCATCGCGAAGCTATCTTGCGTGGGACCGATCCGACCGATTCAGGCAGTACTCCCGAGTACAATAATGTGAAGCTCACGTCCACCGAAGATATATTCTCCCTCATTCGCCGCTTTGATTCCACCGTTCCCTTCACGGACGGTCCTATAGGGTTCTTCGGCATCGCGAGGGCGACATTCGACCATCTTGTTGACGAGGAAATCGCCGCTGGCGTTTATGACGTGAGAGACACTCCAGATTATCCCACTTTTGGCTCCTCTACAGACAGCTATGAGCACACTGTCAAGGCCTTCTACAGTGCCTGGGCGAGCTTCTCGACTCGCAAGACTTTTGCATGGAAGGATGAATACCGACTCGCAGAGGCCCCGGATCGTCGTATCAGGCGTGCTATGGAGAAGGAAAATAAGAAGATTCGTGATGAAGCCATACGAGAATTCAACGAAGCAGTCAGATTCCTCGTCACCTTTGTTCGAAAACGCGATCCTCGTTACCTGCCAAACACACAAACAGCTGCCGAACGCCAGGAGTCTCTACGATCCGCCGCTGCTGCTCAAGCCGCACGCTCACGTGCCGCCAATAAAGAGAAGCTATCCGAGACTTTCGTTCCTGACTGGGCTCAGGCGAGGGAAGATGGCGACGCGGCCGGCCACTTCTCAAGCAGCGAGGAGGAGGAATCAGAGGTAGAGGAGATCGAATGCGTTGTATGCAACAAGGCTTTCAAGAGCGAGAAATCATTCGAAGCACATGAGAGGAGCAAAAAACACATAAAGGCAGTGCAGTACTTGAGGCGCCAAATGAAGAACGAAGATATGGATCTGGGTCTACGCGACGCTCCTATCGCGCCTGCGAAAGAGATGCCGAGCCACGAATCTGGGGAGGAGGAGGTTGATTCTCAGGAACGCGGTCAAGAAGACGCCGTCAAGGGCAAGGATGACACACCGGGAGAATCAGCCTCTCAAATCGATGAGACAGAGCTCACTGATACGTCGTCAGACAATATCGGAGATGACGAGTATGCTTCGCGTGCCGAGGTTGAGCAAAGGTTATTCGCGGACGATCCTACTCTCACCAGGGCGAGCCAAGGTGATGGCACAGAAGCTGCTTCTGCTGCTGCTTCTGCTGCTGCTCAGACTGTATCAGCCAGTCTAGAAACTTTGTCACTTGACGATGACAATGATAGTGACCACGGACCACAGCCAAAGAAGTTAGGGAAGGCCAAGGCGAAGCGTGAAAAGAGAGCAGCACGCCAAGCAGTGGAGGATGCCGAAACTAACAGTGTAAGTCCCCTTCTGGATGGAACCAAAGACAATTGCGCTTTTGATCACTGACACCCGATCCATAGAATACATGCATTGTGTGTAATGCATCGTTTCCCTCCAAAAGCCAACTCTTCAGTCACATTCGCGATCTCAATCACGCCCGGCCAGCACCGAATGCAAAAGCCCCAGCGGGTGCCAAGAAGAAGAGACGCTGAGTCAATATCTGTACTTAAGACTGAGCTGCCTTAGACGATTATCCAACGGTTGAAAAGCGAAGTCGCACCCCAAATCAAATCAATGTCCATACCCAACCAATCCTGTGTTGCCCACCCTCGTGATCAAAGTAAGGATCCCTTACGCCAATAATGCGACCATCCCCGAAGTCGGGATGTATGTTGTAACCTATCCCTAGCCCAGTAGCTTTAGGCGAGGAAGCCCTGTATCGGGCGGGCCATGTACATTGATGCGTTTCCAACGCCCATGAATTTCGGTCTCGGATCCTGACTGAAGGATCATAGCATAGGCCGGAAAATCTCAAGCGTCCAAGATGGTGTCGCCATCATCGTCACTAAGCGTTTCCACTTCATCAATGGCGCTGTCCCGCTCTCCTCCTCCGCTTCTCGACACAGGGTCGTAGTCTGCAACATGAATCACTGCTTTTCCTTGGACGTGCTTCACGTTACGTCTCCACTCGGCCCAGTCGTCCTCGTCCTGAATCAAGAAACCAATGAGCATACTGGGGTCCAGCTCCCGGACATGAAGCCGGCGTAAGCGTCGAGTATGGGCTGTATCAACATCTGCTTCACTGTAGCGAGAAGGATCCGTGTGGAAGGGAAGGGCAGGTCGAGTATGGTGCGGATCGAGGTAAAACAAGTAAGAACCTTGTGTGCCAATGAAGTAGTGGGAAGAGGAAGGTCTGCCACTGTAATAGCCATGAATGAGTACACCATATCTTGACTTTGGTGGAGGTACTTACCCTGCAATGCCCACCGACTGTGGCATTTGTAGTGCGGCTATGAGAGCCTCCCAGTAGACCGGGGTAATCTTGTCAATTCCGAGCCTCGTGCCAACCAAGATGAGTGTCGGATGGAACTGAGAACCTTCGGGTTTAGCAATCTTCATGAAGTTCTCCTCATAGACATCAGGCCCGTCTCCAGTGGAGTACACTCGGAGAGGCGGGTGTTCTTGAGCATTGGCCAAGGCTCTGGGGTAGGAAATTAGCCTGTATTTCTGCATCTAGGAACAACAATGCAGGCTTACTGAATGCAGCGAGCGGTGGCCGAGGGGCCAAACCACTCCCCTGGGTATTTCCCACATGCCACTGCACCGTGTTGAACAAATTGGTGGATGGAATAAGGCGCCCTCGGATCGTCCGCGAATAGGGAAATCAGCTTTCTCTCCTCTTCGATTTTATCACCTCGTCGCCATCCTACCAGCAGAGTCAGCGAAAGGCACTTATAGCAAAAGTGATTGTTGAGGTATTCGGAGCAACTGACCGCGCCCTAGGTTGATAACCGCCATCGCGTTCGCGAGTAAGCTTTGACCTGACCGGATCATGCATCCCCAGCCACTGTCAGACGAGAAACCGTTTTGGTCCACCAGTTGACTTTTGATACGCATTGAGAAAGATAAAGCGGACGAGGCTCGTGGATCTGTAGATTTTGCTATGGCCTGGAATTCTGATCGGTACGTCATCCAAAACTTGGACTCAAAATCGTCGAGAAACGCCGATGGCCATCCGCCGTCCTGCTCCAGGTAATCCTCATCGTAAGCAAGCGAAGACGAAAAGCTACTGGACACAGAATGTGGGGGGGTTTCCGGGGCCTTGGCCGAGGCCGAGGCTGTCGCTAACACCTGTGAGGCTTTTGGCTTGTTTTCGGTTGGCTCGGTCGATGGAGGGGTTTGGCTTCGATGATCTGTATCTTTCTCTTTTGTAGCCTTGGTATTCAGCTTGTAAGAACGACCCAAGCACCAAACTGGAAGATCGCTCTGATGGTCGTTGGTGGGTTCGGGATCCCAAAACATCTGGACGATGCGACGGTATCGGCCGAGGTCTACCGCAGCCATCGCGGATACGTTTGACTGTAAAGCCTGGCTGCCAAGTCCTGCGATATCGAATGACTCGTCCTTGAGTAAGTTGATCTCGTGTGCGCAGGCGACAACAAAGGGAATCTAGCGGTCCTTCCTTCTGACAACTGTAAGTGCGACTTTGGAGAAGTCAAAAGCAAATAGAAGGGTAAATGTTGCAGATGACAGTGCAAGCTTAAGAGTTGGGCGATTACACTAGAAATAAGGCGGATGCGTGGCCGCAGGCGTGGTAGATGGTCAACGTGGTAAGTCGGTCGGTCGGTCTGTCGGGGGATGATGGAAGAGCAATGGGGATGGCAATCTCGACTCGAGGCATGCGACGGGGAGGTAGGTACCGTGAATAGAGAGGCAGACAAGCTAGCACAGCCAGACTACCTTGCGTGATAGGAAGGAACTCTACGTAACCAGAAGGAACACCTGCAGCCCAGGTCCTCAGCTATCTGAGCCGGTGACAGGCGGACAGGCCCTGTGACGCATCGGCCGAACACAGCGGGGCTCTTGATGTGGCACTCAGGTAGCACCGCTGCACGGTAAGGAGCCTGTATCCGTAGGGAGGCATGATGCACCACGTTAGGTGGTGAGGGGAGGGCGGCCCAGGTCCTCTTTTGATCGGCAACTAATGCCAGAAGTACAGAGTACCTACGGTTCGAAGCGTTTACCTCAGAAGGCGTTGGATCTTGTCCGCAAGGCATGTATCCGGATACTTTGCCTTGAGGCCAATGATCTGTGCCCGGTCCAAGCGTTTGTTATCGATAACAGCTGCAATAGGGTCCAGCAACTCTCGGAGGCTTTTTCGCAAACCTAAGGTATCAACTTCTACGGTGCTTCCCCAAGTAAGGTAGGTAAGCACCCGTGGCACCTAAGGTACCTTACCCCCGGTGCCTAGGTCCCCCCACTTTGTGTTTTAATACAGGGACGGATAGAAGGGATTTTTTAAACTGGCTTGCCACATGCTTTCCGACCTCAGCAAAAGGTGAGGCTCAGAGCTCCCACAACCGTGTTTTCCAGTCGACAATAACTGCTCATTCACTACCCAGAGACCGCATATCTGGACGAGACTTCATTGAAGCCTCTTCATCGCGTGGGCAGCGATGCCGCGCGGTGGAAGAAGAGGTGGCGCACGAGCGCCACCACGCAATACCCCTCGCTTTCGCCCTCCTGGTGGCACAGAGCGGCATGCACCCAGCTTCATTCCTGCGATGGGCTCAGCCGGTCAGTATATGCCATCCTGATAGAATTCTTTTCGGAAAGTACCTCCCATTTGCGACATATAAGTTAACCAGGTTCGCCATAGGATTCACATTGCAAGACGAAGCCCGCAGCACCGCTCATCGCTCGTCACCCTGGAACAGTGATTCAAAACTACGCCATAGGCCGGTTGCCTTTATCAACACTGGAGCCGCAGAGCCCCTCAAACAACTAGAGAGCATCTTACAGAAGGATGAATTGGGGTTTACAAACAGACCTCAGGCGGAAATCGATGGACAAAATACTACCCCCGATCGAGCCGCCGATACACCTTCCACCGAACTTGAAACTGCCTTTTCGCTTGACGAAGCCCTCACCCACGAGGCGACACCGGTTGATGCTGCCGTAGAAATTACGGATGCCTCTCTAGGCCCGCAAGAGGCAGGACAGGCTATGATCTCTCGAGCGGATGACGTCACTGGCGCTGAGGCTCCCGTCACACAGGATACAGCATCGCCTCTTCCATTCTTCTTCGACGTCGTGGGAGAGAATCAACTGCTTGACACATCTGTGGATCGAACTCCGACTCGTTCTCCGTCGCCTGCGCCTTCCAATTCGAGTGAGGAGGTCATTCTGTTCCGAGGTCGCAACAAGGTCCCCAGGGATAGACAAAGTTCAAAGTCCAAGGCCAAATCGAAGCTGGAAACCTTCAACCTGGGCGGCATTTCCACGGAGATCAACGTCCTGGAGAAGACTGTCAAGTCGAAGAAAGACAGCCGCAAAAATGTGCCTGTGAAGACCGCGGGAAGCTCTATACAGCAATCTCGTCCAAATGCCGTCAAAGATTTGAAGCGACAGGAGGAAGATGACTTGGTTGCTGACTATATTGCCAACATGAGGGAGTATGGTGAGGACGAAGCCCTGATGCCTGCGAAAGCCTATTCTCGCCGTGACATTGGCGGTTCTTTGAGTGAGTCCGAAGGCATCGATGACTCGTTCCAGACCATCGTAGCCACGAGCAAGACCAAGGAGTCATCAGACGGCAACAGCGATCCGGAGTATACGACAGCAGACGCCGGAGAGGTTCCTCGAGCGAGCGACAAGAAACCTATCCATACTGCACAGAGGCGATCCGGAAGGGGCAAAAGCACACAAGATGATCATGCACTGATGGGCATTTTTGAGACGGATGTGTCTTATCTGGCATCACTCGAGCAATCCCATGCTGAAGACGCATCGCCGCATTCGGATTCAAGCGACCAAGACGACGATATCTTCACATCAGCAGCAGACAGATTTGCGAATGAGATCGACGATTTCGATTTCATGGACTGGAGCCGCCCGGCTTTGAAGTCTAAGGGCAAGGGTGCCAGAGGCAAGGTTCCCGTGTTTGACGTTTCGGACTCCGAGCTAGAGGGCAAGATGCAGACTGCGTGGAAGAATGACCGTTTGAGAAAGGCCGAGAGGAAGAAAGAGCGCCAGGCCTTGCGTACTCAAGGACTGTTAGGTAAACATGCCAACCCGGAAGATCTCAGAGTCAAATACCCGCACGGGATGGGGCTTGAACAAATCGCCGATGAGCTGAGAACGTTCCTCTTGGGCACGCAACCTAGGTAAGTTCCGTGCCTTTCAAGTGCACCCGATGTACTGAAAGCTGACTTGTTGCCGCAGTCTCACTTTGCCGCCCATGGACAATCATGCTCGGAAGGTGATTCACGAACTGGCCAGCAAATTCAATATCAAATCCAAGTCGACAGGATCGGGTGATCAGAGGCGACCCATGCTCCACCGCACTTTCAGGACCGCCAAATTTGCTGATGAGATCTTCGATATGGCCATTGCTCGGGTCGGTCGCAAATACTTCCCCCGCAACGATTCAGCAGTGCGAGCCGCCGTCCACAGGCAATCGGCTCGTCGAGGAGGCGGCGGCGGGCACGCTGGCGTCGCTTATCGGGATGGTGAGGTCGTCGGAGGGTCCGCACCGGAGTTGAGCCAGGAAAATAAAGGTCGCGCGATGCTCGAGAAAATGGGCTGGAGTAGCGGAACCGCACTAGGCGCGCTTAACAACAAAGGCATTCTGCAGCCTGTCGTCCATGTTGTCAAGCGTAGCAAGGCCGGGCTCGGATAACAGGCATCGTGGTTGTCGCGCCGCCGGTTGTTCGAGGCGATGCGTTCAATGTTGCTTGTTCTGTTTCTGTCAGATGGCTATCCGGCCAAACCGAAACCTATGCGCGCAGTTTAGGGGGTGCGCGCACCGGGACACATAGGCAATAGGGATAAAGTTTTTGTTGATGTTCATGTGTACGATTTCATTCGTCCGAAAACCCTATTCTCAAGGTGTATTGTACAACCCGCGAACCCCGTTTGACCGTGAAGACATTGCCCCCAAAAAAGCAAACCATCCGTAACGCATTAAGAGACCCCAAGGATATTGGTAACCTTGGCAGGTCTCATCATGACACCCAAATGCCAAGTAAAATCCAATGCCCGAAAAGAAAAGCAGTACAAGCACCCTTATTTCGTGGAAGAAGAGTACTTGGTGACGGCCTTGGTGCCTTCCGAGACAGCGTGCTTGGCCAGCTCACCGGGCAGGATGAGACGAACACTGCGGAAAGGTTAGCTGGTTCGACTTTCAGGTATGGGATGATGACATACGAGGTCTGGATCTCGCGAGAGGAGATGGTGGACTTCTTGTTGTAGGCGGCAAGCTTGGAGGCCTCGGAGGCAACGCGCTCGAAGATGTCTGAATGCCGCGTTAGAAACAATACACACGAATAGGCATGGCGATGTTTTGCTTACCGTTGACGAAAGAGTTGAGGATGGACATGGCGCGGTTGGAGATACCAGTGTCGGGGTGGACCTGCTTCAGTACTGCGAAGATGTCAGAATACGTTGTATTGAAAGTGCTGGATATCGCGAAAGACGCGACGCGTCAACTAGTGACGCGAGGTATTGATGCCACTCACCCTTGTAGATGTAGGAGGAGTAGGTCTCCTTGCGGGACTTGGTGCGCTTCTTCTTGTCGCCAGAGGCGGCGGTCTTCTTGCCAGCATCCTTCTTCTCGGGGGCCTTGGAGGCAGTGGCAGGGGCCTTGGAGGCGGGCTTCTTGTCGGCGGCCTTGGGGGGCATTTTGGCGGTTTGTATTAGTGGAGGTGGAAAATGAGTAGGTGAGTAAGTTGGTTGAAATGGATTGCGACTGGCGACCGTGGATGAAGCTGGATGATGGAGTGAGGAAGAGTTGATGTGGCAGGAAGAAGTTTGGGGGGGTGGGCTGGGTTTTTGTAGCTGGACGCGACGGGCTCCTGCGGCGTTACTGATTTGATGCGAGTACAGAGTGATTTTGGGGAGGGGTGGCCCAGGTGTGTGGTCAGTTACCAGTATCAGCGGCACACTGAGGCCCTGGGCTGGGTACCGGGGGCGTGCACTGGTGTTGCCTTTGCCTGGTAAAAGGGGAATCGGCTGTCTTGGTTGGCTGGGAACCGGGAAAGCGGGTCTGGAATATGGAGGGAAGGACCACCGCCCACGAGAGCGGCTGCCGGACTGGGGTGCTCACACGCGTTCGCGCTAAAAAAACAAATACGTGACGGGACGCTCAATGTATTTTTTTTTTAATTCGCGTATCACCAAGCGGGCAGGGGAGACTTGAAAGAACGGGCTACAACCAATAGCAGCATCCCATCACGAACGAACCAACAGTCCCCCATCACGAATGCCCCCCGGTTCACTTACTCACCACTCATTGTCTAAGAAAGGTGACTGACGACTCGAGAATCTGGCTCTCGCAGTGCTGGTGCGCAGTAACAATCTGGAGTCAACCGGATCTCTCCAACACACATGATAAGTTGAGAACAGAGAATGTTCGGCTCCCCGTGCTAATGCGCCGCTGAGTCGCCATCTTCAGGCGGTTCAACATGTGCCTATGTAGTGCTCATACTGCCCGAGGTGGTTCAGCACTCTAGGTGGAGATAGAGATACGTCTTATGCACTGCACTCTAAGGTAGAGCTTCTCTTCGCGTGCATTCGGTGGAATGGTGACACTGAGAGCAGCCTTTGAGTTTGGAGGAGATTCGCACTCTTCTCGACGCGTCGATTGCAGCTTGCGTCGTTGACCACGGGTGCGGCAGCCGACTAGCCTACAACCTCGATCTCTAAGTGGCCTAGGCCTGCACGCCTCTATTGTAATTGTCGGGGGTTCTCTGCTCGTTGAGATCCATACTTCGTGCACACCTCAGATAGAACGACCCATACCTGGTGACAGAGGCAAGGCATGAGCTCGCGGTATTGAACGTGGAGTACGAATACCTAGTCTGCATGATGGTGTACTCCGTTTAGCAGGAGAAACTTCGTCCACTCTTCAGCCACTGGAAACGCGGTCAATGGTAACGCGGTGGGCTCTACGGTACAAATCGGGACCCCTCCACACTCAGTGGCATTACAAGGCTGGGCCCGTTTACTGTAGAAACACCACAAGCAGCATGCAGGGGTCGCTGTATAAGGCACTCTAGGAGGCTCTATCCGACGGGGTCAGACAGGACGCGGGGCTGTCGATTTGAAGATTTCTCCGGACCCGATATGGGATGGAGCCGAACGATGGGCCATGTGAGGCCCAGGTGCCTGGGTCTCATTAGGCTTCTTCACATGAGCACATGTATCGGACTCTGTTCGTAATGTACAGCGGGTTCCGGTAGATCTGAGATCCATCTCGATGCAAGTCATATGGGGTCGAGATGTCACTGGATAGTGAAGTTTATAATTCGCATAAAGTGGTTGAGATGCAAGGCATTCCATTTCAATAAAATGGAAAATGGGGAAAAAGATAACGCAGATCATCAGAGTTAGGACATGGTTGACTAACATGCCTCGAGATGGCCTCAGCTCTGAACTTTGACACCAAAAGTAGTATCGGTATACTTCATGAATCACTTTTCACATAAGAATCCTCTGAGAATTCAAATGCTCTGGATGGTCGGAGCTATACGTGAAAATGAGCCGCAATGTGGTGCATCAAAACATAACAGCACCAAAACGAAAAGAAAATTCACATATAATCGACAAAAGTAAAAGTGCGTCGCATGAGTCCGATAAGTCGTACTCTCTCCGGCTGATTGTGTCGTGGCAATTCGTTCAAAATATGAGTGACGGGAGGGGAGGAAAAATAGGCAAGACGGGAGAAGGTGATCAAGACGTGGCTCGGTGACGGTTTTTCCTGGCCAGTCAGATAATTCGAAAATCGGAACCCCGCGCGGGAGGGGGGGATTTAAAAGCGGAAAGTGCAAAAGAAAAAGGGTGGAAGGGGAAAAGGGACGTGAGTAGGTCGCGGCAATGCTGGTGGAAAGGGGAGCGGGACCGCCGGGGGTTTTATTTCCTTGCATTGATCGCATCTGGACGCAATCGCTTCCTTGCCTTGGTGTCATGGAAGTCGCGTCTGGCAGCCTGCCTTAAGGCTTATCTGTAGCTTGCGTCCACCAAACAGGCGGCATTGCTGCGGGCGGCGGCAGGACTGATAAGGTACGTACCTGCCTTCTAGCCCGGGGCCCAGAAAAATGATGCACCGCAGGCGGCAGCACTGCACCATTCAGTCTACCACAACACCAATTTTCTGGTTTGGGCTTAGCGCCAAATCGCGCGTTGGTGATCCGTGATTGAGCTCCTCTAACGCGAAAACTACTTAACTTCTTCACTCCCCACCATCAACGCCCTTTCTTCCATCTTCATCTCACTTTTCCATCTCCAACTCACAGCCAGCATTCAGCCAAGTCGCTTTTTACGCGTCTACTTCAATACCCAACTTTCTCCCACAACCCAACCCAAAACCCCAAATTCACAATGACTGGAGGCGGAAAGTCCGGCGGCAAGGCCAGTGGTTCCAAGAACGCGCAATCGTAAGTTGACTCTTATCCCGAAGCTTTTCGGAAGGCAACATTTTCGCTTTTATGCGGCTTTTTCCAACATCTCAAGCTTGAGCTTCATTCACTAACTTTGATTCTCTTAGTCGTTCCTCTAAGGCCGGTCTCGCATTCCCCGTAGGTCGTGTTCACCGTCTGCTCCGCAAGGGCAACTACGCCCAGCGTGTCGGTGCCGGTGCCCCCGTCTACCTCGCCGCAGTTCTCGAGTACCTCGCTGCTGAGATTCTCGAGCTTGCTGGCAACGCCGCCCGCGACAACAAGAAGACCCGCATCATTCCCCGTCATCTTCAGCTCGCCATCCGCAACGATGAGGAGTTGAACAAGCTTCTCGGCCACGTCACGATCGCCCAGGGTGGCGTTCTGCCCAACATTCACCAGAGTAAGTTGACCTCACATCGATTTCGCCTTCAATTGCTAACATGGTTTCAAGACCTGCTGCCCAAGAAGACTGGCAAGACTGGCAAGAACCAGAGCCAAGAGTTGTAAACGGGTGTCTAGTTTGGGTTTTTTTCGTGCTGGTCGGCTGCTTTGGGTTGTCATGACATCGGGGTCACGGTTCAGGGTTCACGGTTGATTTTCACGTTTGGGTTGTACAATAATACCACGGCAGGAAGCTATGGTTACGAATGAGAATACCTTTTGAAGATCATGTTTCGCATACTTGGGTGATACTGCTTTTCTTCATGGCTTGGTATGTGAGTTTGTCTGTCGGCTCTGTTGGCCAACTTCGCTATCGCTGACCGTCGAGTCAGCTGTCTGATAATATATGTCATCTGATAATTAGAAAGGCACATCGGTGACAGATGTGCCGCATGCGCATGCAGCTGCTTTTCTCTGAATTGGTCACCGTGGCATATATGTATCAGTCTTGATAGATTGTTCCCTCCTTTACGGCAATATCAAAGAGACTGACGGAAGCATCCAATGGCTGATTCTCCGTGCCACTATTTGATGCGACGTGACAATTTGATATCTAAAGTAATCGGATGACGGTGTTGTATTATACAGGCTCGTAAGGATCGGGTCAGCTATGCTTGTGGGCTGAACGACATGCGCGTTGGCGTCCGCTTGGCTTGGCTTGGTTTGGCCAGACCGCACATGTTTGTTACGATGGTGCATCAACTGTCCCGGTCCACAACCCCCGGTCAGTGTTGTCAGAATCGCGCATTGAAGCTTCCACATGGAATTTCTATGTCGTGTAAATCAATGTCGTGTGTTGTAATCCCAGTCTTTCTCCCTTCCGTGCCTCCACTCCTCGCTCAGAACTTCAATGGGGGTGGCGCTGTTTCTCGGTTAGGAGGGAGTGGTGCAATATTCGTCACGGTGAGGACTCACGATCAAGGATAGGTGCTCGGAGGTTGCGCTCGAATTTGGAACCTGTATAATCGTCATCAGCATCGTCTGCGCTATTTGTAGAGGGCTGTCGTTTCTCGGAGAAGGATGTGACGAACCGCCGGGTGCTGTCGGGTGCACGTAGGGCTCTGGGTGCTTCCACTTCGACAGCAGTTTCTCTGTCTGGGCCAAAAGCTCCTGTGAAAGTTCATATCAACATTCGTCGCTCCGAACTTATTCCCTGTCTCTGCCGGACGCATTACTCACTCTCTTTTGTCTGGAGTCCGTCACGGATCGATTGGCCTCGAACAAAGAGCGTATGTACAACGCCTGGCCTCTCCAGAGGTGGCGATGAACAGCCCAGTCGAGAGCCAGCTTCAGCGAACGCCGGTAAAGCGACCTGTCGTGACAAGTATCAGCATGACGGCTCTGCCCTGTCTCGGTCGTTGATCTTTGGCTCACAGTGCTGCTTGACGGGTCGACATGATGGGCCAAGCTCAATTCAATTGCGTCGGGGCCGAAGGATGAATCTCGTTTGAAGTAGAAAGAGCGTATGAGCGAAAAGGCGGTGACATAGAACGGGTTTGGGCTGCCAATGGCGCGTCGACGATTACGAAGTTCCCAGGAATGAGGTAGATGAGCTTGGTACAAAGATGCAGGCCGGGGCGTTGGTATCGCCGATTGTGGCCTGAGGCACGAGACCTGAGCAGAGCCGCATCGCGGAACCGTCACGTCCTATCAAGACTTCCACATCCCATTAAAACCCTCGTAGACAATTAGGACATTTACTAGCAAGGGATAGTTACGATATCTATATAGAAACAATAGCTGATCTTATTCATATCTAAATATCTAAGTTGAGGCTCTTTAAATAGCGTTTTATTTTATATCAAACTTTAAATAAGTTACTATTAGATATTATTAAATTAATAAATTAACATAGTCCAAAGTATAAATTTCATAAAAGATATCCTAAGTGTTTATATAAGATAAATAATTAAACTATCTGTAGGGACTTATTTACTTTCCATTACTTTATTTATTTACGTGCCTATAATAGTAAGAACGAATAAAATGAATTTAAAAGTAATTATAACGTGGTTCATCAGTCAGCGACGAATATCAGTCAGCGACGAATATCAGTTAGCGACGAACTTTTTCCTAAATGCGGTTTGTATTAAACCACTCCAACCTTTGACGCGTAGTAACTCCACAACCATTATGCCAATTTACACACAAGAAGACAAGATACTTCTAGCCATCGAGACTATCCGATCAGCCCGCGCCGCCGGCCGAAAACTAAGTGTGTTGCGTGCTGCGAAGACTTATGGTGTCCCCAAAAGTTCCGTACGCCATAGAATGAAGGATCGACCCCGATTCGAACGTGCCTAACCCTAACGATATAAACTTGATACGATCGAAGAGAAAGCGCTTTTCTAATACGTTATTGAGCAGGATTAAAGAGGGTTTCCCTTGCGTCTTGCCGGTGTGGAAGATATGGCTAATCTCCTGCTACGAGCGCGTAATGGCAAGCCTGTTGGTAAGCGATGGGCCAGGCGGTTTGTGGACTCGCAGCCTGCTCTGAAAACCAAGTTTAATCGTCCATACGATTATTAAAGGGCTCTTCAAGAAGATCCTGAGGTTATATCAATGTGGTTTGCGCTGTTATGCAATATGATGGCCAAGTATGGAATCCAAGAGGGGGACCTATATAATTTTGACGAAACTGGCTTTATGATGGGTATGATTACCGCGTCAATAGTAGTAATACGCGCTGATCGACGTGGTAAAGCAAAGTCTGTCCAGCCTGGCAACCGTGAATGGGCTACAGTCATTGAATGTATCAATTCGGGCGGGTGGTGCATCCCTCCGTTCGTGATTGTCAAAGGCGCATATCACCTTGCTAGTTGGACCACGGAATCAGGTTTTCCTAGCGACTGGGTTATCAAACCTACCAATAATGAATGGACGGATAATTAGACGGGTCTTGACTGGATTAAACACTTCGACAAACATATTAAGAACCAAATGAAGGGCGTCTACCGGATGCTTATTATCGACGGCCACGAGAACCATTTATCGGCCGAATTTGATAATTACTTGTTACGAGCAGGACAAGGCAACCAACTGTGGCACAAAGCAAAAGCTTCGATAATGATGACTCCGGCATCATTGTCCCTTGTTCTGCATTATATAGCTACGCGCCCACAGTGACAAGTTGCGGCGGGCGTAACATTACTGCAAGCAGAACAATATTATAACCGTTAGTATGCCTGCATATTCGTTACATTTACTACAGCCATTAGACATTGCCCTTTATTCGCCTTTAAAACGCGCATATGGGGATGAAATGAACCTATTCATTAAAGCCTCCATAACCCACATCACCAAGTCGGAGTTGTTTATTACCTTTTACCAGGCCCACAACAAAGTTTTTAATGAAGAAAACATTAGGGCTGCTTTTTAAGGCGCTGGAATTTCACCATGGAACCCAGAGCATGTTATTGAAAGGCTTGATGTACATTTACGGACGCCTACACCTCCTGTGGCTAACCCTTTAACACCACCACCTTGGTAGTCGTAAACGCCCTCTAACCCATAACAAACCGTCTTGTAGTCTAATTTTATTAAAATTCGGATTACTGTTTATTAAGGAAGCTTATTGATGCTAATTATTGCTGCAGTTGAGCAATTATTAAAGGGTGCACAGGCATGTTACGGCCAGCTAGTCGTAGTGAGGTTTGTTTGCAGAAGTTGAGGCTGCGGAACTGGTAACAGTATTCGTAGTCGGGGATAGCTTCAGGGAAGCTATGTCTGTAAGTCGTAAGGTAAGGGAAGGCTTTGGTGATCAATCGTAGTCTTATCAAAGAGGTTCTCAGGGAAGATAGCCGAAAGCGATCATAAGATCTGATACGAAGTTAATTGCTGAAGAAGCTATGGGAAGTCTGTCCTAGAGCCCGGCTCGAGTCCATCCTATATACAAGTCCTAATCCTGAACATATCCTTTGTTGCCTGATCACTAAGTGGATACTGGTGAGCGCTCACTTTGGTTGATGATGATGATAATGATGTATTTAACGTCTGGTAACAAAAGGACGTGCCGGGCGCTATGCAGCGCTCACTTTGGGTGATCACTGTGATCACCTTATCGTGTGCTCACTTTCCTTATCGTCACATGACTTGTTCCATAGTTCTTCCGTTCCATGAGGAGTCACCTGAGTTCCCGGATTCTCTGCGTATATCAGGTAGATAGCCGCCGCAGGCCTGTGGGGCGGGCCCCCTGGCCTTGTTATGCATGTTGGGTTGTAACATAAAGTTCTTATTATAGAATTCAAAAATTGTTTTAAATTTAAAATGTTATAGTTTGTATTACCGTTAGTTATTAGTTTAATTAAGTATTATATACTATGTAAGCTTTAAAAAAAAACTCAGGACCGATTATATTAAAAATTATTCAATATAAGGCCGCCGTAATCTTCTTTTTCCTAATTAATCCTATCTTGTTGAGCGCTTTTATAAGTTATAAAGTTTATAAGCTAACTAGTTACCTATAACGTACATGATAAGCGAGTGGGCCAGACAAGCGAGTGGGCCACCCAACCACGACCACATGACATGAAGAAGCAAATATCAACACCCACCTCATGGATTCAATCCAAACTATTCAGAGTCCTCTTCCTCAGACATTTCCTCATTGAATCGACATGTTAGCGCATTGTGACTAGTGTTCCCGCAGACACCACATCGTCGTTAGCCCGTCTTAGTCCTCGGTCGGCGACCACTACTCCGGCGCATTTCCTCCTCTACCTAGGCTATAGCCTCTCTCTACGACTAAAGGTCCTCTCCCTTAGCTATAGTAAGGCTTCCTCCTTATCGGAGACGGTTTTTCTTAGCTCTCCGGCGTCGACTAAGTAGGTTGTTCTCCTCTCGAAGGATCTAGTTCTCGGATCTTAATAAGGCGATCTAGTGCATAAATCCACGAGCCCCCTTAGATAGATGCTCTATAGCTTCGATAATTAAAGTTAGTAAGCTATTTTAATACCGGGAGATTCGATTCTTGATAAGTTCTAACTAAGAAGATGCTTCCGTTAGGTTATTTAGTGTCTGAGAAGTCTATACCGGTGGTGTTGTCGGGAGGGATCCTGGAGGCGTCG